ATAATCATCAAGGCTATAAATTATTTATTTTTCTTTTATATAGAGACCATATTTTGAATCTTGTACCAAATTTCTGATTTAGACAAAATTTTATGATATATTTTTAAAAAAATGATATCTGGTATATTCACACACATTGGTTCTATCATTAGTGGAATTTGAGAAAAGCTCAGTGGGGTTGACAATATAGTTCCAGAGCAAGCACCAACTCAACCAGAAATCCAATCCCCTATCATAGAAGAAATTCATAACAAGCATAGTGGGAGACTATTTATTTGGCAACTAACATGCCTTGGTTTGGGTGAAGTATTAAAATCTTTCAAAAAGCCTATTGATATTATCAAACAATCTACTCCTTCAAGGAAAGGTAAGGAGAAGGAATATTTCCAAAGTCTCCTGCAGAATCAAGCAGTAGACAACAAAATATTGATCTGATTTGGAAATGAAATCTTATAACAGTATACAGAGGTATATATATTGTAAATTAACATTTACAAAAAATAAATTTTATTAATTAAAATTAAAGACCTATTCTATCAACTAATAATGCTATTTTTTAAAAGATAGGACAGAAAGTGACTTCTATACAGTCAAAGCTCATTATAGTGGACACTCGGTTCCGGGCATTTTTTGTCCACTATAACGAATTTCCACTATAACGAAAAATCTCTTTATAGTGGACTTATTATAAATAAATTGAAAAGTCCCTTATAACGAGAGATCAATTTTTTATTAGTAACACAAATAAATTCACATATATACATAGTAATTAATTATGAAATAAAACCGTCTAATGTAAGTTGTTTTGCATTATCCCGAACATGTTTATGAATTTTTGATTTTAAATTATTAATCATTTTTAATTCTTGATAACTAATTGTAAAATTATCTGGTGGATTTTTTAAATATTGAATCACTTTTTCTAAATTATTTAATGCCTCTTTATCAGAAATAACCACCGTTTCCACCTCTTCCTCATTATCAGAATCATCAACCTCAGGATTTGGCTCCACTGCTCTAATAATTTCTTCATCAGTTAGTTCTTGTATTGGTGCTTCATCATTGATGTAAATAAAACGGTCTGCAGTGATTGGATCTTCCAGGTTTAGTGCATCAATTGAATTTTGTAGTTCAGAAATTTGGTACAAGATTCAAAATATGGTCTCTATATAAAAGAAAAATAAATAATTTATAGCCTTGATGATTAT